TTAAAAAACGTTTGAAAAAAAATATCATTTAAAAAATGCTTATTTTGGCGCGATCTCCACGGTAACAGCAGCTTTTCTGGTTGGTTAATGAGGTTCACGTGATGTATGCGTCGTTTGAAATTTCTCCCGCTGAAGGGTGAAGAACAGAAGAAGTCTGTCACTGTCAGACAACTGCTGTTCAGGTAAGTGAAGTTCGTCGCTCTCTTTCTTTGTGCTTTTTTTAAATACCAGAATTCAAACTCGGATGTCACTTTGTTCTTTATTGAAGTGAACTTTTGCTTATATGGTAGCGGATCCACTGCCCCTTGAGAATGCGAGTACAGACTGACGCGACCGGTGCGATAAACCGGCCTGCGGGATGTAATGTAAGTTAATGCTGTTAAAATGATAGGAAAAATCACAGCGAAATCAGCAACAAACAACAGTAATTGACTTTTAAAGCTCAAAGTGATTCAATGGCTGTATAATCAGATTTAATTATATCTAAATCTAATCTGTGACTTTGATAAGCAGGATATGTCTGCTATTTTATGTGTGTGTGTGTAACGTTATGTCTGTTCTTGTTTTTTAAAGGAAGTTCAAACAAAACTGAAAATTTACTCATCATTTTCTCATATGGTTTCTTTTGATGAACACAAAGAACACATTTTGAGGAATGTTGGTGACCAGACAGGTAACTGGAATGTAACATTAAATTGGAAAGTGGTTCTCTACTGATTAAACATTTTTTTATTTTTTTTCTGCTGTGTTCAACAGAAGGAAGAAACTCATACAGGCATCGTACAAGTGGAGGTGAGGAAATGTTGACAGAATTAAAATTTTTGGTTGAACTATTCCTTTAGTGGATAATTGCCGTTTTATTTTAACAGTTAATAAATTAAAAGTTAATTCACAGATAAGCATGTGTTTACACCACAGTTTTCATATCTAAACATTTTTAAGGTTTTTGTTTGCTAAAAAGGTTTTGTTTGTCAAAATACTGTTGTCATACTGTTGTGAGTTTGACAACAGTATTTTGACAGTCATTCAATAGTGCCACATTATAAGCAACCATTTCCTGTATAAAATGTAACCAAAGCAACCTTATTTTATTTTGTTACCTACAGGTGGATTAATGTTTGTATATGTATTTATTAATTTTGTATTAATTTAATATTTTGTCTTTTAGCTGCTGTGAGAAAAAAATCGTCTGACACAACATGCTCCCGATCAGGAGATAGAAGCAACTATACAAGATGGCTTCAGCTTGCTCCTGATAGAGATGGAGGAAGGAGAGAGCGCTTGAGGAGAAAAGAGGGGCTGCAGAGATGTACTTCACTTCCTGAGAACTATTTTTTTTCTCCCTCACACATACAAAAATTCTGATGTGTAAATTTGTTTTAAGTAATTGTTTTAATTTGCTCTATGTTTGTTGAGAGTAAAATTACATTATAATATGGTTACATTTCAGTGCTAGATTCATTCATAGATTAATTTAGTTAGAATTGGAAAATGTTGTATACTTGGCTGTTCAGGCAACTAAAATAGTGTTCACACAACTCTAGCTGTATTACTACAATATTACTACAATAAGTAAGCTACTGTTTAAAGGAACACTCCACCGTTTTTTTCATATTAAACTTTTTTTTATTTTTTATTAAACAGACCATTAAACTATGTTATTGCCTTATAACATATAATGGATAACTATAATGTATGGCAGAATAGCACTTGATAGCACTTCAACTCGGTGCAGTAATATCATCACTCATAATCCTCTCCCGATGATATAGTTATATTACTGCGCCGAGTTCAAGTGCTATTCCGCCATACATTATTATCCATTTTACCCGCTTAGAAAAGTGCCATGTTTTATTTTGTTTCACCATACTTGGTCGTGTAACTGTATTTAAATAGGGAAAACGTGGAGGTGTTTGGTCGCTTCTAACTTCATCTCTGTTTGGATCCTAATGAATGAACTGGGCTAAGCTAAGTGCTATCAAAGTGTTGCCGCGCGCCAGAGCGATATAGTGCACGCACTGAGACGAGAGAGGTATCAACTCGTCTTAGTTAAGGGAATAACATAGTTTAATATGAAAAAACGGTGGAGTGTTCCTTTAAGACAGACCAGAACATTTTGAAATTAAATGCACTTTGAGGTAATAGGATGTTGCGCTTTGAATGTACAAAAAAAAAAAAAATAGCCTTCACACAGTTACACAATTCTAGATTTGAATTTTCATTATTATTAAATGTTTTGGCTTGTGCATTACTACAATAAGTAACGGTTAAAGACAGACAAGAACATTTTGAAATTAAATGCACTTTTTTGAGGTGCTAATAAGATGTTATGCTTTGAATGTACTAAAATAGCCTTCACACAGTTACACAATTCTAGATGTAATTTAAAAATGTATTTTTGGCGTGTACATTATTGTTAAATAAAGCAATTTTCAGAATTGAATTTTCCTGTGACTTATTTGTTCATATGGTTTGGTAAGATTAGGCTGGGTTATGGCTCAGTTTTGGGGTTTCTGGTGTTGATAAGGTTAACTTATGGCTGAGACTTGGTACCAATAATAAAACCTGTTTTGGTCCTATTCAGGGCCAGTTATGGCCCATGTGTGACTCTTGTCCTTAATCCAGTTCTGGGCCACTTCAGGGCCAGTTAAGGGTTAACTGGCTGAGATTCGGGCCAGTTATGGCCCATGTGTGACCCTTGTCTTTAATCCAGTTCTGGGCCACTTCAGGGCCAGTTAAGGGTGATTAACTGGCTGAGATTCGGGCCGGTTATGGCCCATGTGTGACCCATGTCTTTAATCCAGTTCTGGGCCACTTCAGGGCCAGTTAAGGGTGATTAACTGGCTGAGATTCGGGCCGGTTATGGCCCATGTGTGACCCTTGTCTTTAATCCAGTTCTGGGCCACTTCAGTACCGTCATTCTTTGCGGTACTTGGGCCGAGGGAAAAGTGATTGTGTGGCCCGGAGCTGGGCCAGAAAACATTTGCTATGTGGGACGGCGACATGTTCCGCGACTCGGTGTCAGTCAGGTGTCCTGTCAGTGTGTCGCGATAATGTCAGTGACACATGCCACTATCCACTGGCACATGCCAATGAAGACCGGATGTGCCACCACATGTGCCATTGGCTTCTGTGCGTCAGATGCCATGTCACTTAATGTTAATACCGCCTCTCACTATGTCATGAGTGTAGGAACCCATTACCCTGTTACGCACTATTTCCACCTCTGCATAGTTGACGATTACCGCAATTTACTAGAAATTTAATGAGACACGTTTGTAAACCATGTTTTCCGGCAAAATAAAAGCTTGATGCAGTTTCCGCCAAAATAAAAGATCATGTGCTAATCTCTTTCAAGTATAGAAATTAGTACAAGACTAATTATAAAAGTTTCCTTTATTTTTCAGTGCATTTGTTTTTACAATATATGGCTATTACTGTCATGGGATTAATATTATAACTATTATTATGTAGTAGTGTAATGCAGACACTTATAATACCTTATAGCTTGTTTTTAGGGTCCATTACTGATCTTCCTGCTTTGCTACTGTTCGGACGCTCTTGCTTACCGCTCCGCGCTTTGCTCTATCGCTTTTATATTTTTATATTTTATATTTTATCTCCTTTTATCACCTAATTTTAACTTCAGCTAATCAGCACAGTGCTCAAACGCTTGGATTACTAAAAAAAAGCAGAATACTTTTATTCAACCAACCTCCCACTGCTTACATTCCGGGGAAGAAAACACAACTGCCTACATTCTAAAGGATAAGAGAAAATGCCTCTTCTGGAATCTACTTGCTGCACTAACTGCCAGAGACTTTTACAAAGGATTGTAGTTCTTGAAACAAAGTTACTTGTGGGACCACCAAACCAGTCGGAACACACAACAGAGCTTCGTCATGGACGCCCTCAGCATACAGCCGGTGAGTCCCATGAATCTAGTCCTCCTCGACAGGCCATACTGAGTGTAGAGAAACAAGCCGATCAACTTACAAATCGGTGGCACAAACAGGGAGCGAGACCCAAAGGCACTCGAGACATCAGATTGTCACGAGCATCACATATTGCCGCAGTAGCATCCTCTACCCCAGATACGGCTCTGACAAGGATTGCAAACACTGGTCTCCTACCACCGCCTATACATCTTGAGAACAGATTTGAAGTATTAATGAATGAGGAATCCCTGAATGTGATGAATGTGATGAATGTGATCGAACACAGACTGAACCAGCCAGTAGCTAACACTGCTAACTGGCGCTCAAGGTCGAGCAGACAGCGGCACTCAGCTCAGAGCGCAGCCGAGCACAGGACTCTGATAGTGGGTGACTCCATAATCAGAAACATTAGTAGCAGGGATACAACTACGTGCTGCCTTCCACAAGCAACGACTTCTGATGTAACAGGGAACTTGAGAACATTCTGACGAAACATAAGACTGCAAATCGACTCATCATTCATGTGGGGAAAAAGGATATTCATAAAGAGCAGTCAGAACTCCTTAAGAAGGATTTCAATGAACTTTTTGAAACACTTAAAAGACTGAAAGTACAAACATTCATCAGTGGACCACTCCCAGCAAGAGGAACAAACAGGTTTTCACGGTTGCTTGGGCTCAACACATGGCTGCAAAAAACCTGCAATGTAAAAGGAGTAAACTTCATTGACAATTTCAATCTTTTCTGGAGTCAGAGGCAACTGTTTCAACAGGATGGCCACCACCCAAACAAACTTGGTTCAAGAGTGCTAAAGGACAATATCTACTTCTCCCTCAATCATCCTTCTGCAGTGTGTGCCAATCCACTCAACCTGAATGGCACACACACACACCTGGACACAGTATGAATGACCACAGGACTTCACTTCAGCACGTGGATGGACATGCGGTTGACATATCACACAAGGACAATGATAACACCACTCAGCCAAAACAGCCACTGCTCACGGACACAATCTCAGCTGAGCCCTGCCCACAGAGCTCACCACAGACAGACTGTGACATGCTAGAACTGCTCCAAGTTTCAGCTCCAAAGGATGACTTGCTGGAAAACCAGGACAGCATTTTACAGCCTCCAATAACACCAGAGAAACAGCCCCCTCCAGCCTCTACCCTCTCACCAGACACGTTATCCCTATCTCCAGCATCTCCACAGCATCTTATGTGCTCCTCAGAACAAATGGAAAAACTGGTGTTTGCTGGAACCAAACTATCTGCAAGCCCCCAGACATCAACCAAAAAACGGCAGGCCCCAAAACCACGAAAGCCTGCGGGCCCAGCTCGCTCTCCGCTTGTGAGAGCTCTTCGGCCTCTGCAAAAACGCCAGGGCCCACACCCTCCTCCATCGGCTCGAGGTGAACCAAAAACAACTGATACCAGCTCTCAGTGATATGTGCCGGGTGCCCGCTATGATAACAGTAACTTTCTCAAATGTTTACAGAACAAGCGGGAACCCAGTGTGCCTGTATCTTTCTCTATTGCTGTTCGATTACATGATAGAAAGTCTAAGGCCTTCAAAAGCCGTACAGCAAACCCATCTAATCTGGTGCCTATTACACGCCAAACTAAGACAAAAGTAACAAAAAGTAAGACTGTTAAGTTAGCACTTTTAAACATCCACTCACTTAAAAATAAATCACTTCTAGTCAATGACTTAATAACCACATACAACCTGGATTTTATGCTTCTAAACGAAACTTGGCTAGAAGACAGCTGCAGTGCAACAGTCCTCAATGAAACAGCCCCTCCTAACTTTACTTTTATGAGTGTCTGCAGAGCGGATAAGAGAGGTGGAGGAGTAGCTGCTCTTTTTAAAGATGTCTATCAATGTAAGCAAACATCATTTGGTAACTACCCCTCTTTTGAATATCTGGGTATTATGTTAAAAGGTGCCCCACGCATTTTACTTATCATTATTTACAGGCCTGCAAAATACTCTCCAGCCTTTGCTGAGGACTTTACAGAACTGTTATCAACAATTTCCTCAGAGTTAGACTGTTTTGCTATTACTGGAGATTTTAACATTCACATAGATAATGATACAAATATGGCAAAAGAAATCAAAACTGTTTTAAAAACTTTTGATCTGACTCAGCATGTACATGGTCCCACACACAATCGTGGACACACTCTAGATTTACTTATCAGTAAGGGTCTAAACATCTCATCGATTGTTATTAAGGATGTAGCACTGTCTGATCATTTCTGTATTTTCTTTGATATATTGATCTCTCCTGCCATTGAAGCTAGATCTGTGTCTGTCAAGAAGAGATGCTTAAATGAGAACACTAGTGTACTATTTATGAAGGCTATATCTTTAAAACCAAGCATATCTGCTGACTCTGTTGATTTTAAACTTGATTCTTTTAACTCAAAGGTTAAAGGTGTAATAGATTATATTGTTCCTGTGAAAGTCAGGAAGAGTGGTAGACAAAAAGCACCTTGGAGAAACTCAACAGCTGTGCAAAATATGAAAAGAACATGCAGAAGAGCAGAGCGCATGTGGCGGAAGATAAAACTTGTAGTCCATTATAACATCTACAAAGACAGCATCCATGCTTTTAATATTGAACTAGGCAAAGCTAGACAGACTTTCTTCTCAAATATTATAAACAGCAACTTAAACAACACACACACTCTTTTTGCTACTGTAGAGAGACTGACAAACCCCCCAAGCCAGATTCCCAGTGAAATGCTCTCAGACGGCAAGTGCAGTGAGTTTGCTTCTTTCTTCTCTGAGAAAATTAAGAATATCAGAAAGGTGATCAGCACATCATTGAGCCGCACTGGGGTCAGACAGATCAGACCACAACCTGAGAAAGTAGTTACTATGTCTGTTTTCGAAGAAATTGATGGCAAAATTTTGGAAGAAACCGTACAACACCTTAAAACATCAACCTGCGCCCTTGACGCACTTCCCACATCTTTCTTCAAAAGTGTGTTAAACAGTTTAGAAGCAGATCTCCTAAAAGTGGTTAATGCCTCACTTCTCTCTGGTAGTTTTCCAAACTCCCTGAAAACTGCAAGCCCCTCCTGAAAAAGAGCAATCTGGATAAGACTATATTAAGCAACTATAGACCGATCTCAAATCTTCCTTTCATAGGCAAGATCATTGAAAAAGTTGTCTTCAATCAGCTGAACAACTTCTTAATCTCGAATGGATACTTCGACAATTTTCAATCTGGTTTCCGATCGCATCACAGCACAGAGACAGCGCTCATAAAGATAATAAACGATATTCGCTTAAATACTGATTCAGGCAAATTATCAGTGCTGGTACTACTCGACCTCAGTGCTGCATTTGACACTGTCGATCTCAACATACTTCTTGACAGGCTGGAAAACTGGGTGGGGCTTTCTGGGATAGTCCTAAAATGGTTCAGGTCATACTTAGAAGGGAGAGGTTATTATGTGAGTATAGGAGACCATAAGTCTGAGTGGACATCCATGACATGCGGAGTCCCTCAAGGCTCAATTCTTGCGCCACTCCTATTCAACCTATATATGCTCCCACTGAGCCAAATAATGAGAAAGAACCGAATCTCTTACCACAGCAATGCAGACGACACACAGCTCTACTTAGCCCTATCGCCTAACAATTACAGCCCCATTGACTCCCTGTGCCAATGCATTGATGAAGTAAACAGTTGGATGTGCCAAAACTTTCTTCAGTTAAACAAAGACAAAACTGAAGTCATTGCGTTTGGAAACAAAGATGAAGTTCTCAAGGTGAACGCATACCTTGACGCTAGGGGTCTAACAACTAAAAATCAAGTCAGGAATCTTGGTGTGTCTCTAGAGTCAGACCTTAGTTTCAGTAGTCATGTCAAAGCAATAACTAAATCAGCATACTATCACCTGAAAAATATTGCAAGAATTAGATGCTTTGTTTCCAATCAAGACTTAGAGAAACTTGTGCATGCTTTTATCACCAGCAGGGTGGATTATTGTAATGGACTCCTCACTGGCCTTCCTAAAAAGACCATAAGACAGTTGCAGCTCATACAGAACGCTGCTGCCAGGCTTCTGAGCAGAACCAGAAAATATAAACACATCACACCAGTCCTCAGGTCTCTACACTGGCTCCCAGTTACATTTAGGATTGATTTTATTTTAAAGTATTATTACTGGTATATAAATCTTTTAATGGGCTAGGACCTCAATATATTGCAGATATGCTCACTGAATATAAACCTAACAGATCACTCAGATCATTAGGATCACATCAGCTAGAAATACCAAGGGTTCGCTCTAAGCATGGAGAGTCTGCTTTTAGCTATTATGCCAGCCACAGCTGGAACCAGCTTCCAGAAGAGATCAGATGTGCTCCTACAGTACTCACATTCAAATCCAGACTCAAAACACATCTGTTTAGCTATGCATTTACTGAATGAGCACTGTGCCTCTGTTCGTCCGACTGTTTTTACTGTACTTTATTTTATTTTTTATTCTAAACTGTTTTAATTATTCTTATTTGTTTTGATTATTTTAATTTCTTCTATGTAAAGCACTTTGAATTACCATTGTGTATGAAATGTGCTATATAAATAAACTTGCCTTGCCTTGCCTTGCCTACTGTGGAATATTGTTCAATGAATTAATAAATGACAATTTTGTACTTATTTCATCTGTTAACTCTCACTCGTTCCTACTCACTCATTACATGGCATTAGTGGTTTTCCAATCACCGACATGGGTTCGTTGATAGACGCTGGCTTCTTGCCAGCAGCCATATCACCCTGTAGCCCAAGACTGGTTCCCCACTGAAGCTAAGCAGGGCTGAGCCTGGTTAGACCTGGATGGGAGACCTTCTGAGAAAACCAGGCTGCTGCTGGAAGAGGTGTTAGTGAGGCCAGCAGGGGGCGCTCACCCTGTGGTCTGTGTGGGTCCTAACGCCCCAGTATAGTGACGGGGACACTATACTGTCAAAGAGCACCGTCCTTCGGATGAGACGTTAAACCAAGGCCCTGACTCTCTGTGGTCATTAAAAATCCCATGGCACCTCTCGTAAAGAGTAGGGGTGTAACCCCAGTGTCCTGGCCACATTCCACCCATTGGCCCCTACCAATCATGGCCTCCTAATAATCCCCATCCACTGAATTGGCTCTATCACTCTCTCTCCTCTCCAACTATAGCGGGTGTGTGGTGAGCGTACTGGCGCTGTTGTACTGTGGCTGCCGTCGCATCATCCAAGTGGATGCTGCACACTGGTGCTGGTTGAGGAGAGAACCCCTGATATGATTGTAAAGCGCTTTGGGTGTACAGTAGTACATATGAAAGCGCTATATAAATGCCTCATTCATTCATTCATTCATTCATTCATTCATTCTTCTTCAGCTCCGACTTCGCATGCAGCCGTGCACGAGCGCAAAACCTCACAACACCCGCCCCCTGTCGGTGATTGGTTGGAACACTATTTATTTTGGTTTTGAGTGGTTGGTGAAACCAATTGTTTTTGTGTGCAGATCTCAGAGCCTAGGCTGCCTACAGAGATGCATTTTTTTTGATGGCCTGCTTATGGGGCGGGCAGCTAGCGGATTGTTAGGAAAGATTAGATGAATGTGATCATTTATGTTTGGGCCTGAAATTCCTGATACAACCTTTAAGGCACACCAGGGGATATTTTTGAAACAAGGTTTTTTCAAAAAGAATATGTTTTTCTTATGATGTCTAACTAACTTTTTTTTGTTTTGTTTTAAGTGCATCCTTGTACTCATCTCACACTCTCAAGACTTTCTTAATGGCGTGTGCATGAACATCATTCATCTCCACCAGAGGAAGCTCAAGTACTACACTGTGAGTGCTGTTTTGGTCACGTTTTTTTTCCTACAGTTTACTATTTGGAGAATCTATTGAATGCATTTAAAGAGATGGTTCATCCAAAAATTCAAAACTCATAAGTTACTCACCCTCGCTCAGCTCTAAACTGTATGACTTTTTTTTTATTTTCTGTGAACCATAAAAGAGAAGGTATTTTGAAAATGTCTTAATGTTTTTGTCAGTACAATGGAAATAGAAATATCTTTTAAGTTCTACAAAAGAATGAAACTCATACAGGCTTGGAACAGAATGAGGGCATTAAAGGCACACTGTGGAACTTTTCAACCTTTATAATATATTACCAAAACCCATTGAGATGGTACATCGACTTACAATAGGTTGAATGACACGTCTGCCGTAGCCTGAAGGTGTCTGTATCGCTTTTCCTAGCACTATGTAACTTCGGGTTTCGGGTAGGAACCCGAGCACAAAAAGAACTACAAAATTCAACCGCTTTACGGCATACGTCACTTCCCCCACCACTTCCTCAGATTCTGACGTGAGTGCTCAACTCGCGTTTGATTGCCGTCTGTATGTTTTCGTCATGGCCGAACCAACAGATACAAGGAAGAAGGCAAAGGTTTTGTCAGAGGACACTAAAAAAAAAAGAAAAAGCATAGTGACAAATGTAAAGCCAGGACGAGGATCACCATTGGTCCAGCGTTCGCTCGCTGGCGTGAGCTACAGGAGGAGGAGGGGTGCCCGACCGATGCTGACGCTTGCCTGCACACAAATGCCGTTTCCAAGGTGACCCAGATAAATCATATAAGTAGTGTAGTATTTTCTGGTATTCCGGCCACAGCCGATGGTGTTATGAGTGTAATAAAATGCCCACAGCCCATTGTTCATTTCTACACACAAACACAGCCCGCCACAGTGCAGGGCTCGCACAAATAGTCGACTCATGTCAAATGTACATTAAATGTAGTGAACGTGCCCACGACTCAGTGCCCACAAACACTACACACAACATGTCCCACGGTTTCTGTAAAACGAAACCAACACACATAAGTTACAGTCAGCTCAGGCCGACGGTGTTTTTAGTGCAGTAGAAATGTGCCCACCGTCCCGCGCCCACATTCACTCACAGACATGTTAGCACTAAGCCCCACGGGGCTCGCCCCGCTCGCTCTCTCTCAGCAGACTGCTATAACCCCTCATTTACACTGCACACGTCTGCGGCGCATTACGGCTGCGACATTCCGTTTTATTCCGTCCTTCACACAGTGCCAACTCACTTCTGAGTGAGGCTGCCCGCCTCAAACACTGCACACAATCTAAAGACACGGGAGGCTGACCCACTGTCTATGGGCTGACCGGTTGACTGTTTGTTGACTTTTGCGACAGTGCTGCGGAGCTTGTGGCCTCTAGGGACGCTAGACGTGAAAGTTACAGGTCGAGCGCCACTAGTGGCCAAAAGTTCCGCGGTGTGCCTTTAATGAAAATAATGACCGAATAATTTTTTTTAATGTAATGTCACACCTTTTTTGAAAATTTGCAGTCCATTCAGATATTATTGAATGAAGCTCCATCAGTGTTTAGGAACTTGGATGTAAAAGCTTTATTGTCTCCAAAAATCTGTATTGCTACCCAGCAAGCAATAGCTGTCATTTCAGTTTCGGTTAACTATAGTCAGACTACGAGTAACCCACTTCTAGACCAAATAACCTTGAATTTGGTTACATGTTGTTTTTGACAAAATAACTTGCAAGATTTATGATATTCCATCATTCAAGCAAAGTCAACAGTGATTACAAGGTGTTTGGTTTAATTTCTTTGAGAGGTTCTCTGCGTAGCCTGTGCGTCTATTCTTGGGCTATGGTTAGATGTCTATTAAATTTTCACTGACAGCCCAAATTTTGCCTTGTTTTAGCCTAGACACCAGGGCTGTGTTTGGACTGCTATTAGACGTCTTTTAAACGCAAAATTGCTTGCTGGCTATGTACTTGTCTAGCCTTAAAATGCCTGAAATCTGATGCTTTTATTACTGTTGCTAATTATGAACTGTCTGGTTCATTGGCACACTTATCACATATATTAACAGGAACAAAGGTACAGTATGAGAGCGGTAAAGTCTGTTATGTATGCAATTTTAGGGTAACTATGACCAGTATGTGAAGACCAGGGAGGAACTGGAAGAAAACCAGATGAAGCGGTACAACTGGGAGCAGGACCAGATAGCTCACATGAAGGTGAAACAGTGCAGCCTTGTGGCCTTATTGCTCTGTTTGAATTGCACTTTCTCTTATTTCATCATTATTTTATTGCGTTGTTGCCACAGAAATATTCACCAGAGGTATGCCATTGCAAAGATAATGTCAAACTTATTCCCTTCATCTCTTGTAGAGCTATATCGCCCGTTTTGGTCACGGCTCTGCAAAGCTAGCTCGCCGGGCTCAAAAAGCAAAGAAAAAACACTGCAGAAAATGGTGGCCTCTTGCCTAACAACTCGTGTCGTAAATGATAAGGTTTGTCTCACAGACAAACACATCAACACTAACACACTGTAGCATTTAGAGTTCTTGCATGTCATTTTCTCTTGCCCAACACCTGTTATCGGCATAAAGCATCAGTTTAGAAATGCTCACATTGTTCAATTGACCAATGCAATGACAAAGACAAAAGAAGTGAAAAGTGAGAACCATTTAGAGAAAAAACACAGACATGATTTATTTTTTTGTCACTTCGGTACAGGTTTGGTAAAAGCAATTGATTAAAAATGGATTCTGTAATTTCCTTAACAGTTTACTAAGCCGACATTTGCTGTGGTGACTATAAACACAGCTTAAAGCTGCAGTCCGTAGCTTTTTTGGGGTTAAAAATTATCCAAAATACATATTTGATCAAATACTTAACCAGCCAGTGTTCAAAACTATCTGCTTGCTTTAGCTCGATTCAAAACGGTAAGCTTGTAATAATGTTTTTAAAGTCCCCGTGAACCGGAAGTTGCAAACGACTTTTCTCCAGTGTTGTGACGTATTTCCGAGAGAAACGGAATACTAAATGAGGCAAAATAGTGGGCGTGGCTTTTTTTCCAACTAGCACCTGATTGGATCTAGAAAAGTAGGTGTTTTCATTCAGCCTGTCTACTGTCAGTTGGAGGGGCGTGGTTATGGATGTTAAGCAGACACCCAAACCGTAAAGCCTAGGTCATCGGGCAAGGTCCTCCAATGCAGAGGGGAGGGGCATTTTCAAAATTTGATTAAAGATTACGAAGCCAAAAAAATTTTTTGTGTGGATTGACTTGCATGGATGAATTGTTCACCACAAAACGATCAATTTAGGCAAACAAAGTAATTATGGTCAATTTTGATTTCATGGGGACTTTAATTCCAGTGGTACTGGTGGATTTCCGCGGGAGATTCGTTACATTCATTACGTCACATCTGTACACATAAAGAAGGAGTCTCGGCTAGTCGGCTATGTTGCGTGTGAGGATGCTGGAGGTGGAGATTTATAGCCTTTTCTCACATCACTTGATATAATTAAACTTATCAATTTGATGGCGGATCCAGAAAGGTTCAAACGACACTCACCAGTGACAACTAGAGATTCACCCGTTGTAAAATGCAAAAGACTTCGTTCGGACTTCGGAGTGGCTACAGAAAAGAAGAGACAGCAACCGGCCCATGCGAAAACAAGGATAATATCGGAAGGCCATTAAATGTAGTGACGCAATGCTGACGTTGTTAACATTAACAATTTGTGAACAAAGTATAATTTGCACGGTTTTGCGTGATATGATAACTTATAAGCGATTGTTAGATTCAATCAGCGCGATTTACTGCAATGTCAGAACCAGAACAAAAGTGGATGTTTCTTACTAGTTCAGACATTTTCCGGTGAAAATTCTTATGTTGGTCATACTTCCAAAAAGAATAATCTGTGATTCTGAATGACAGTATTCACACCGGCGCGGTGATTGACAGCTGCACTCTCCTCAAACATTAGTGTTCATCCGCGCTGTGCCGTGTCGAGGGTGTTGAAGTACAACTCACGTAAAGTTGATAATTCCGCGAATGATTGCAATTGCAGATTTCGAACAGAGATGGCGACAAAGAGGAAAAACGCCGGACTGCAGCTTTAAGCTTTGGGCTCTAGAAGGCACTGAGTTTGCTTTTAAAGATGAAATTGTCACTTGTTTATCAGAGAGTTTTAACCACACCTTTATCCTTCAGAGCTTGTCGTTTTATTTTCCCCCTTGTGGGAAGATCCAGCCTCCTGTCATCATGGTGCAGAATGTCAGCTTCAGATGCAGTGACACAGTGAGTCAACCGCCTGTTGCTGGATCATTTACACAGTATTGTCTGTTTGGGATATTTTTGTTTCAGCACTCATACTGTAAGCTGTCATATGCCGTATTATGTTCTAAAGTTTTAGTAAGCCTTCTAATTCTATAAGAATAGTGAATTGACCTATGGCTAAGCCACGCCCCCTCCACTCACTCGGACAAACAGTCAACATTCGGTGACAGGCGCTATGGCAGCTGTCACAGTAGGAGACATTTCACAGGAGGCAATTGATGATTTTTGGAGACAGAAAGATTATATATCATCTCGAAGTCACCAAAAGGGCATTAACTATGCATTGGAGGGTTATATTAATAATTTTATTGTTGAGAAGGTCAATGAAAAGCTTCAGCTCCAAGCAAAAATGTACAGGTCACAGTGTAAACGTGATAAACCGCATCTCGTTGCCATCACCATCTCAGACAACAAGATAGAGGATCAGCATTGTTCATGCACTGCAGTATTTACATGAATCATTCAGCACAACATTGCTAACATTTGTTATCTCGGTTATTTACATACGTTTATATACGTTAATAAAGCTAAGTGACATGATGTACAACGCAGCTAGAAGCTAACGTTAACGTTTTAGGGCCGTTACATAGTCAACGCGAGCAAGCAAATCGAAATTTGAAATCGAAAGCGAGGCTCCGGTGGGAAGAACCCCGGAAGTACAGATAGACAACAGTGCCTTGGACTACCAACCTGAAGCTGCTGCCGCGATTTACACTATTGGATGTTAATATCCAATATAGGGTACAGGTCCTTCTCAAAAAATTAGCATATTGTGATCAAGTTCATTATTTTCCATAATGTAATGATAAAAATTAAACTTTCATATATTTTAGATTCATTGCACACCAACTGAAATATTTCAGGTCTTTTATTGTTTTAATACTGATGATTTTGGCATACAGCTCATGAAAACCCAAAATTCATGTCTAAAAAAATTAGCATATTTCATCCGACCAATAAAAGAAGTGTTTTTAATGCAAAAAAATATTCAAATAATTATGTTCAGTTATGCCCAGCCGGCATTTCAACGTTGATTCACCGGTGAATCAACGTCAGGGACCAAGGTTGAATCAACGTTGGATTATGATTCGATTTTGCAAAACGATTCAACGTTGAAATCGTGACGTTGTTTCACCGTTGATTTCGTGACATTGTTCCACCGTCTTGCAGCGACGTCGAGGTTGAATTAATTGGTTTAATTAAATGATTTTGCAAAACGAAACAACGTTGAAAATGCAACCTTATATCTTTTTTTTTAACATTGAATAAACTATAGATTGAGTTTCCTTTTCACTGTAGCCTACTCTCTGAAGACATGACATTTGTACAGAAAATCAAAGGAACTGTAATTATGTAACTTGCTATGTATAATTTGCAATACTATCCTATAGTCGCATCTGGGAAAACATTTGGTTCAAACTGTGTACAGATCGGTAGTTCAGGGGTGAGATGTTACACATTGTATGGGGGAAAAAAATGTTAGCACTATGCCAGATTTTAAAATAAAAAAAACAACTGTTCGAATACATATATATATGCTTTTTTATTTGTCTTGTTCAACAACAGCAAAACACAAAACTATAATGAAATAAATTGAATTCATCAATTGAAAGCATCATTAAACATCAAAAATTTGGTCTTTAAAAAGGTTCTTACAGCATTACAAGCCAGAATAATAATACATAGGCTATATAATTTCATTGAGTTCAACCGGTCTTTAAAAACGGTCTTACAGTACAAGCCAGAATAATAATAATAAATATATAATTTCAAGTAACATCAACAGGTCTTTAAAAACGGTCTTACAGTACAAGCCAGAATAATAATAATAATAATAATAAATATATCATTTCAAGTAACATCAACAGGTCTTTAAAAACGGTCTTACAGTACAAGCCAGAATAATAATAATAATAAATATATAATTTCAAGTAACATCAACAGGTCTTTAAAAACAGTCTTACAGTACAAGCCAGAATAATAATAATAAATATATAATTTCAAGTAACATCAACAGGTCTTTAAAAACGGTCTTACAGTACAAGCCAGAATAATAATAATAATAATAATAAATATATCATTTCAAGTAACATCAACAGGTCTTTAAAAACGGTCTTACAGTACAAGCCAGAATAATAATAATAATAAATATATAATTTCAAGTAACATCAACAGGTCTTTAAAAACAGTCTTACAGTACAAGCCAGAATAATAATAATAAATATATAATTTCAAGTAACATCAACAGGTCTTTAAAAAAGGCATTACAGTACAAGCCCGAATAATAATAAACTATTATTTCGAGTAATATTGTTCAACAGCAAAACTATTTTAGAATGCTCATTAAACCCATTATTCAAACTTTTTTTTGTGTGGGTTTCAAGTAAGTTCTTATAAAACTACATGCCAGAATTATCATCAAGTAACATCTTTCAACATCAGTAAATCACTAATGAACCAAAAACATTTTACTCTAGGTTTCATTCTTGAATTATATATTGACCTAGAAACAATAAATAAACTTTTTTTTTTTTTTGTGAATTGAGTCTTCATGTAAGAGTCGTCTTACGGCCACCACCACCCATCCTCTCTGGTGCATATTTTAAGTATTTTGACATGGTCTCCAATATTTGTGTACATGTTGTGTTGTATGCATTGATGACAGCGTCTAAAGAGAAAAATAAAGACAGTTTAGATCAACATAACTGCTGTATATTTCAGCCCATGAAACATCCTGTGTTTTACTTTTTCTATAGAATAGAATCACATGTAGGTGCATGTTAAGAAATATTTGCAAACATTCTTGATATGTGAAGCCAGAAAACCACTTTGTTGGTGCTAACTTTTGACTGTTGGAAGTAAAAGAGGCACAAACAATTAAAAGACTGCCATTAACTTGTTAAATGATCAATAAGAATTACAATTTGTAACTACTGTAATTTAATTACATTTGGATAAGCACAACCAAAATAATCACACAAAAAAAAACAATCAAACACAAATGCCCCACAAATGAGTTGTTCTGCACCCGTTTTCTTTTTTTACTTACCACAGATGATCTGGCATAGCAGAGACTGAGAAAATGGCAGCTTCCCACGTTTGCCCTTTAAATTCATCTGTGCCATCAAGGCATTTGAGAGAGTTCTAAAAAACAAACATGCATGTAAATATATATTAAGTACTCATTTATAAAAGGTATCTTTTCCATGTTAAATACATGACAATACATTTGCAACGTCTTTTGCATAGAGCAGAGACATTGCAACGACAGCAAGAAACTAGAGCTTAATGTGTGGCGTAATTATTTATTTTAAATAAATGCAGCAATGTGTGGCATAAATGGTACTTACGCAGACATTGATTTTTTCACCATGTCTACCTCATCAACACCTCCCGGTCTTTTCAAATATGCTTGCTGTAAAGGAGTAAAACAGAACAGCAAAAATTACTTGTCTGTAAGATGAACTTGACAATAGAAATCTGACAAAATAAAAGGGTCTAGTCCTTCACCCCGGGTTAGCATAATTTCTAACTGGGGTGTAAATTGGACAGTTCATCACGATACGATATCGATTGTCTCAGCCAGCAATACGATATCTGTCGATACCTCAACAAATTCTGTGATACAATTCAGGGATATATTGATATTTAGATATTATGTGCCAAGTTTACACTCACAAATGCAACAAAAAAATATATAACATGTATTTTTGTTTGTGCATTTGAAGTAATATCAAACTGCAGCTGGGTTGTTTTGATTAAGTAAAAAGAATCCAAAAACATACAGGTAACTTACCAAATAAAAAGTTAATAGAAAGTATGTTTTATATTTGTTTTACCAAAAGCTAAACTGAGTTTCAGGGTTAAACAAAACCAAGTAATTGCTATGATACATAAAAAAAAAAACACTTGGTTAATCTCCTCAGCTGACATAGACGCCTGTCAAACTTTGTTGTGATCACATCAAGCGAGCTTTTCCCTCACCACTGTAACATGCTGCTTTAGCAAGCTTCTGTGAAAAAGTTTCAGCTTTTATTTTCCTTTTACGTAAAAATAATCATTTAATTAATTAATTATAGAACACATAGAATTGTCAATTAACATTTGTGAATTGTCACTTTGAGGCTAGAACTGTGATTGATTGCGTATTTCATCTGAAACTTACCAAGGCTGCTCTTTCCATTTTGTCTTCTAAACGACTCTCCAGTTCTTGGAATTCGATCTTACTGTTTGCTTGCTTCAGATTAAATGTAGTCCCATCAGAGTTTCCAATAGCAATTTTTATTGAATCTCTTATGTCAATAAGCATTTGAAGCACTTTCTTCTGGAATTCTAGGATTTAGGGAAGTGAGAACATGAGTTAATAGGGTTGGGCAATAACCTCTAGGTACTATGTGGTTTATAGCAGTTAACATAACTTCAACTTATAAATACCCATTACAGATCATGTATCCAAGCTTATTCTTCATAGTCTGACAAATTATTAACTTAAAAAAATAAATTATACTGCCCAGCACTAACACAAATCACTATGAAAAGTCAGTAAAATTAAAAGTGACTACTTACTTTCCTCTGATAGAGGAAAGTTTGATGCCTTCAATTTTGGAGTTGAGGTCTGTTGGCACACTTCAGAGAAAGCAGGCTCTGATCTTTCCCTGTCCTCATTGTTGTATGGCACACAATATCTTTTTCCCTCACTTGACAGTTCTGCACTCATGGACCTTACTCTCTTCTTGTTGGATTTAAGTGGTGGGTGAATACTCGGATGCTGGCTCAGGCTTCTCTGTAAACCTCTTATTCTCTGGCTGTCACTTTTGAGGGGACATCAATATACCAACAAATGTTAAATAGGTTGTGGTCTTAAAATGAAATTAAAGTTTAGACACTGTCTAACAAAACAATACTTAACACCAAAGATAGTTTATTCTTCTACTTATCTATTATGGTATAAATCCATAATTATAAATTCAGGTAGGGTCGTCAATGGTATTTTTTAGTGAGAGGCTCACCTCTTACTGCCATTTCTGCATTTGTCACGGGAGGCTGATTTAGAGGGTCTCCTTTTGCTGTGTGACTGGGTGTCTATGGATCTATCTGACAGACTCCAGTTGCTGTGTGACTCTGAAGAAATACTTCTCAAGCTGTGCGAGAGGGATTTACTTGGGCCTCTTCTCTGGTCGTGTGAGAGGGACTCACTGGACTGATCTCTCCTGTGATTCTGTGAGAGGGATTTACTTGGGCCTCTTCTCTGGTCGTGTGAGAGGGACTCACTGGACTGATCTCTCCTGTGATTCCGTGAGAGGGATTTACTTGGGCCTCTTCTCTGGTCGTGTGAGAGGGACTCACTGGACTGATCTCTCCTGTGATTCCGTGAGAGGGACTCTATGGGGCTTCTCTGGTCGTGTGAGAGGGACTCACTGGACTGATCTCTCCTGTGATTCTGTGAGAGGGATTTACTTGGGCCTCTTCTCTGGTCGTGTGAGAGGGACTCACTGGACTGATCTCTCCTGTGATTCCGTGAGAGGGATTCTATGGGGCTTCTCTGGTCGTGTGAGAGGGACTCACTGGACTGATCTCTCCTGTGATTCTGTGAGAGGGATTCTATGGGGCTTCTCTGGTCGTGTGAGAGGGACTCAGATGGATTACTTGGGCTGCATGTGGATGGTCTGCTTTGGTTTGGACAGATGCCAACAGTTTCTGCTAAAAAAGAACAGATGACAATAAAGACAAAATACTAAAAAACAGTTATGTACCGAGCCGATCTTAAGGATCAATATCAGGGCTGATTAAACTTTAACTATCCTAAGCCCAATCCCTTATTTTATATCAGCTATATTAAGTGACTCGGATCGGGGGCACAAAAAAATTGGGACATCCCTACTAAACTTTTACTATGCACTAACTTACATGGAACAAAATTTAAGTTTAGTGTTGAAATAAGACAAGATTTTGATTTAAGTTCAGCAGAAAAAAAGGGTTGAACAAACACCAACCAGAATGCACATTCTTCTGAACTTTCTTGGGTACATCAGGAAGAAAGAGATCATCTACGAGGAAAAAGGATATAGATACTAAATATCTCTGACCATAGGCTCCATTCAGTTCATATTTATAAGCATCATTGGCAGGCATAAACAATTTATCAATTTTAATGTGAAAAATGTTTTTTTTTTACTACAATGTCAGATACCTGCGTGCTCACGTATTTGGGGCCCAGCAACAGCCACCATTTCAAATCCATTTACATTAGTGTCAGGAAGGTCATCTGCAATAATTTACATTCAATATTTTTTATTTTTAAAAGGTTCAGTCTTACACAAAAGGAAAACAACTAAAATCAAAACTCCTCATTTATCTTTATGGCATTTTAAGTAGAAAATCAAAATACCAGAAGGTACACCGAACGCCATGAAAGTTTTATGGATATTATTAAAAATGCACTGGCTGGTAACTTAAAAATAAAATGCAGGCGGGGAAACAGTTAATAATTGCACACCAACTGAAATATTTCAGGTCTTTTATTGTTTTAATACTGATGATTTTGGCATACAGCTCATGAAAACCCCAAATCCCTGTCTCAAAAAATTAGCATATTTCATCCGACCAATAAAATAAGTGTTTTTAATACAAAAAAAAAAGTCAACCTTCAAATAATTATGTTCAGTTATGCACTCAATAGTCAATACTTGGTCGGGAATCCTTTTTCAGAAATGACTGCTTCAATGCGGCGTGGCATGGAGGCAATCAGCCTGTGGCACTGCTGAGGTGTTATGGAGGCCCAGGATGCTTCGATAGCGGCCTTAAGCTCATCCAGAGTGTTGGGTCTTGCGTCTCTCAACTTTCTCTTCACAATATCCCACAGATTCTCTATGGGGTTCAGGTCAGGAGAGTTGGCAGGCCAATTGAGCACAGTAATACCATGGTCAGTAAACCATTTACCAGTGGTTTTGGCACTGTGAGCAGGTGCCAGGTCGTGCTGAAAAATGAAATCTTCATCTCCATAAAGCTTTTCAGCAGATGGAAGCATGAAGTGCTCCAAAATCTCCTGATAGCTAGCTGCATTGACCCTGCCCTTGATAAAACACAGTGCACCAACACCAGCAGCTGACATGGCACCCCAGACCATCACTAACTGTGGGTACTTGACACTGGACTTCAGGCATTTTGGCATTTCCTTCTCCCCAGTCTTCCTCCAGACTCTGGCACCTTGATTTCCGAATGACATGCAAAACTGAGCAACAGTCCAGTGCTGCTTCTCTGTAGCCCAGGTCAGGCGCTTCTGCTGCTGTTTCTGGTTCAAAAGTGGCTTGACCTGGGGAATGCGGCACCTGTAGCCCATTTCCTGCACACGCCTGTGCACGGTGGCTCTGGATGTTTCTACTCCAGACTCAGTCCACTGCTTCCGCAGGTCCCCCAATGTCTGGAATTGGTCCTTCTCCACAATCTTCCTCAGGGTCCGGTCACCTCTTCTCGTTGTGCAGCGTTTTTTGCCACACTTTTTCCTTCCCACTGACTTCCCACTGAGGTGCCTTTATACACCACTCTGGGAACAGCCTATTTGTTCAGAAATTTCTTTCTGTCTTACCCTCTTGCTTGAGGGTGTCAATGATGGCCTTCTGGACAGCAGTCAGGTCGGCAGTCTTACCCATGATTGCGGTTTTGAGTAATGAAACAGGCTGGGAGTTTTTAAAAGCCTCAGGAATCTTTTGCAGGTGTTTAGAGTTAATTAGTTGATTCAGATGATTAGGTTAATAGCTCGTTTAGAGACCCTTTTCATGATATGCTAATTTTTTGAGACAGGAATTTTGGGTTTTCATGAGCTGTATGCTAAAATCATCAGTATTAAAACGATAAAAGACCTGAAATATTTCAGTTGGTGTGCAATGAATCTAAAATATATGAAAGTTTAATTTTTATCATTACATTATGGAAAATAATGAACTTTATCACAATATGCTAATTTTTTGAGAAGGACCTGTATATAGTTCGTTCCTGCTTCTTTTTTTTCGTTCTGAATTATATATAAAAAAAATGTTTCATTTATAAATGAATTTCACTGTATATAGTCTAAAGTATGAAAGAAATGTATGTACATTTTTAGAATAACTAATTTCTACATTAAACACAACAAAACGCCATCGCATTCGCGACTCTCCTATGATTAAAAGCGACACTTCCCGTTTTCTTCCCGCCGGAGCCATTTCAAAATGGCAGGTGCGTGAAATCAGCGTATGGACGTGGAAGCAGAGAATGTCCGAGTGTATTGGGTTAGCTATGCGCACTGATTGGCTCATCGCGTTTGGGGGCGTGGCTTAGCCATAGGTCAATTCCACACTACAGCCATAACAATAAAGCCACAAAGGAACAATATTAATGGAATCATTTTCGGAACAAGTTTTTTCCAGTTGATGAACAATAAAAACATTGACTACCAATCAGAATCCACTTCACTTTAAAGAGCTCAAGCAGTAGACAACATAACTCCATAGCATACTTATAATAAACAGAATGTTATTGTGCGTTGGTGTGGACGCTACTATAGTTATTGTTATAGTTATTCTCTGTGAAAATGGGCATTTGGACTGAAAAACAGCGGCACACGCAAATATATCATAAAATTTTTTTCGTTGAATTTTATTTTATTTTTTACAGCATTTTATTTATAAGAACTTGGAGTGTGGCATTGACCTGGACACACGAGTTGCACTTGTGGGTCCCAATGGGGCAGGGAAGTCCACACTTCTCAAGCTACTAATGGGAGAGGTCAGTTATGAAAAAGAGATTGATTTGACAGTTAAACGTCTTCTAAAAAGTGAGTTTTAAAGTCATTAGCATTAATTGGCTTCTGTTTTTATCTCTTGCAGCTTCTCCCCACAGACGGAATGATAAGAAAGCATTCACATGTCAAGATTGGCAGGTATCACCAGGTACCGTCTTCATAGAAATACTGAGTATGATTAGTTGACTTATTACTTGTGTTGTTCTTGGCAGTTTCATAACATTTATATGTCTTAGATATCTATGTACTGTATATACATAGAGATACATATTAAAGGTGCTATATGTAATTTCTAAAATGAATCCTTTTTTTATTGCCTGTGTGTGAAGGGGTTGTAATCAAACATTACAATGATCCACTTGTCGGGTTTTGCTATTACCTCTGAAGGCCAGTATTCCTTATTTTTATGTGAAGTCTCCGGGTCGGATTTTCTGCGAAATCCATCGGATGTGACGTGCATGCGCCCTCCCGAGCCTCTCTCCTTTTTATATACAGTCTATGCAACGGCACTGCAGCTAACGACATGGAGTCTGATAACACCAAAAACGACCTGCCTCCAGCACAACACAGACTCCAACACAAACTCCACATAAATATAAAAAACAAAACAAAATTTATCTGCAAAAATTTATCTCGTCAGGCCAAACGTGAAACGGATCGACTTAGGACGAAAACACGGATCAACATCGGCAGAGCATTTGAATTATGGAAAGACCTCCGCTATTTTTATTGTGGTAAATTTCAAGTTTTCAGATATGCTGAAATAAATAATGGTAAACTGTAATGAAATAGCAAGGTAAACTACAACATACATGAGACATGAAATGAATACAAAAGACTGTTCCAGGATAACAAAAAGTAGGTGCTTTAGGATGTAACTTTTATTTTATGTACTAGATCTACTGTCTAACGTCACTCATCCCACTACTATCATATTGTTTATAATACACATTTCCAGACACGTTCAGTACAGTATGTTACTTTCTACGATCTTACTGTTACACTGAAATTCTTCAGTCTAGTTCACTAACCGTTTTCGTTATCACATTATACATTTACCTATGTTGACATTGCTGATTGTGAAAGATACACGAATAGTTAGTGAAATGCCTTATTATGCGAACACCACATGTCGGCTAAATGCAGTCAGTGTAACGTTATCATGGTACGAGCATGGAGCATTAGTTCAACATCAAGCTGATAAAAGTAGCCTATTATTGTAACGTTGCAGTGGGAGTTTACTTGAGTTTCCAGCATGTTGTGTGATGCTTTCTCCGGGGTGTTGAAAGTCTCAGTGTGGCCGGCCGGTACCATGAGTGCTGGCTCTTGAGTTCGAGCACGCGCAAGAGCACGGGCGCTCTTGTAAAAATTGGTTGCAATCTGAAACATCACCGATAGAGGCCGTTAAAAAATACATATAGAACCTTTAAATACAGTTACAGTTACAGTTACAGTTCTGGGGGCGTATTACAGAAACTTTCTGTCTAAAGTTAAAATCTGACTAGTTAATTTAGGATTTTTCACAAATTCGTATTACAGAAGCAAATCCTAAGTTGATTTGGGATTCTTATCCTATCTTACAAAATCTCATCTTATCTGTAGTTAGGAAATCTTAAACCCCTCCATCGAGTTCGGTAATCAACTCTCAGGTCTGTTACCAAGCAACCAATGGCACCTGCTGTGAAGTAAAACGGAAAAACTGGAGAATGGAGAAAAAAAATTAGTGGTGCTTTTCATTAAGTAAAGTTTTGATAAGCTTGGTAGAAAAAGCAAAGCCTAATCTGTTTTGTCGTCAAAGTGCAGCACATCATTTGGGAGTTCACAAAGTCTTTCCACCATCAAACATCGCTGTTCTTCATCTTGTATCATTAATAAATGTGATGCCATTCTCAGCCAGGGCTATTATTATGTGATTTTTACAGTTGGCTTTCAAATCATTTTGAAGTTTGGACACCATCGGGGTTGTCCTAAAGTTAAGACAGTTTTTAGGATTTTTTGTGGAGTTAGGATGCTTCTGTAATATTCTTTTCCTATCTGTAGTTAAGATAAGATTATGGACTTAAGAAATGTCATTTTGTAATAGCTTTTGTTCTAAATGAGGTCCTAACTGAAATTGCCATGTTTACCAGACAGATAAGATGGGATTCTAAAGTTAGGATCTTTCTGTAATGTGCCGCCTGAAAGCTAAATATAGTCAAATTATTTGTTTCTTCGTTATGTGAAGTAATAAGCACATACTTTTTTAAGTATTGGCAATTGTCCTGCAGCATCTGACTGAGCAGCTAGAGCTTGACCTGTCTCCTCTGGAGTACATGATGAAGTGCTTCCCTGAAATCAAAGAGAAAGAGGAGATGAGGAAGATCATTGGACGTTACGGCCTGACAGGGAAGCAGCAGGTATGTGTGTGGTTGTGTTTAATGTGCAGGGCTGTTAACATGAGTACTAAATTTATTTTGAAGGCCAAACAATACAGCACACTGTACTTAATTATTACTGTTTTAACTGTCATATCCCTCCTATACAGGTCAGTCCCATCAGGAACTTGTCAGATGGCCAGAAGTGTCGGGTGTGTTTTTCCTGGCTCGCATGGCAGAATCCCCACAGGCTGTTTCTGGATGAGCCAACTAATCACTTGGACATTGAGACAATTGATACTCTGGCTGAGGCCATGAGTGAGTTTGAGGGTGGAATGATGCTAGTTAGCCACAACTTCAGACTTATTCAGCAGGTATGTCTTATAGTACAAAGCCAGTAAATGGATCATACCTTAGATTTATTAGTGTGTCTAATTAGGATGTTGTTTTTACATTTGACTGTGATCTAAATTGTGATGGATGCGTTTTCTATCTCATTCTAGGTGGCTCAGGAAATTTGGGTTTGTGAGATGCAGACCATCACCAAATGGAATGGGGACATTTTGGCTTACTTGAAGTCAAAACTTGACAAACAGACTCATGATATATAAAAATCCATTAGCTGGACAGACAAGCTTTTCCATCATGGATTGATTACCCTCCTCTATTTCCCAGATGTGCATGACTGATGGAATTTTGAATCGGACAGTGAACTCCAGTTTCTCAGCTGTTGTGGATTGCATTCCATTTTACTGTCATCTAGGATTGTTGACAACTTAAAATCAATCATTAAGCATTCCCTGGTCTTATATCTTTTAATGCACCTCTCATTTCCCAGCATCAGCACGTCTGTTTTATTTAATATTGTAAAGGCAATAATGGTTTATTGGAATGAATAAATTTGATTATGTTGTTGGAGAACAGTAGAATTTTCAGAATATCCTACATCAAAACAACGTATGGTGCTCATACCAAAATAATGATGGTAGACATAAAATACCATTTTAAACTGAGCAGTGTGATGTGTGAATAATGCGTACATGTGAATGCACGTACACTTGGAACAACAAAGGGTGCTGCTGTAAAACCTTCCTTTGTTTCCTCATTTAACTGTTAAAGTAAGATGAGCTGCTGTGGCATTATTTAGGCAAAAAACAAAACTAAACACATCAGGCAAAACTGTGCTGTGGCTTAGTTTACACGTACAGTCAAGCCTGTTCAAATAGCTTTACTTGTACCTGTGAAGAGAATCATATTGTAGCTTAGCAATATAACAGCAAGCAATGATTAATTAATATAGTTTCTAAATATTTTTAAATAGTTTCTCAAAGAAGACTATGTGCAAATGCACAAACAAATGCAAAGAGATACATTTATCAGTTCTAATGAACAGCAGCACCCTTTCTCATAAAATACCAAGTCATGCAGGTTTCAGTTGTTAGGAAATGTTCCTGCCCACACTGTGTGTGAGTGTGTATTTCTAACTTGGCTACACTTTGGGGACACATTTTATAAAGATTTTCTTTGTTAAACCCAACAAGATCCTTGTGGAAACACCCATTTAGAGAGTTAAACATGCATATGTGCAACTGTCCTCCAGTATTGTGGTTGCACATCTGCATTGTACAAAGTAGATGATCTGTCTCTGTCTTTCTGTTTCCCGCTGTATTCATTTCTTAGTTCATATTGTAAGAGGAGTGTGGGGTGTTTGATTGGGAGGGTGAGGGTGATGTGTGATGGGTCATTATCCTCCACATACACCCTAACGTTAACACGCACTACAATGGCTTTGCCAAAGCTTTTAAATACATTGGGATTAAATGAGATTAAACTGTATTGACACTGTATGACTCGCTACATTTAAATACAAATATTAGCCCTTTGACAACACATAAACAATCCTTTAAACAATCTCTGAAAATATGCTTTCCTTCCTAATATAATGGTGGCAGCAGATGCTGCTAGTCATATCTCTAGTGTGTATCTACTTCCATCCTTTCACAATGAAGGAAACCAAAAATTTGACACGAGTCAAAATCCTTTCAATTTTTCATCTTTGTACAGGGAGCCATGTGTAGTAAGATTGATTCCTATAAGATGGCCACCTACACAGCAATATTGGACATAAAATCTTTAATTCTCCTCTTGAACTCCACAAGACTAGTGTATTTGCAACAGAGATGAAAGAATAACAGTGAGTTGGGTAAACAGGAAAGTATTGCAAAAATAACACAGTTTAGTAAGTTCCTTTATAGTTGATCAAGACTTTGCTTACAGATAATTCTTCAGAAATTTATGTTTTTGAGTCCTTAATTATGGCATGAGGGTATTATTATTAAGTGCATTTATTTTTTGTAATCTTTGGTTTAGTGTAATGAAATAAATCTTTGATGAATGAATACAGTCATATCTGCACTGTCGGTTTTGCAGCTGTTTAAAATTCCCCATTATGCAAAATTCACTCTTACATGGTGTTTTGAACATAAATGTGTGTCGGCAGTGTGTACACACACAACCACACTATAAAGGTAAAAATCCACCCACTCCTTTTTTAATCCATAAATCATAAGCAGTGTCTCAGAACAAGCCTATGCAGATTGTAGCTTGCACAGGCCCCGCCTCTGCTGACAGACTCCGCCCTATTAGCATATACCCCGCCCACGGTCCACCATGTTTATCTCCTCGGCGGAGCATTAAACAGCAGCATTGATCATATAAGAAAGAAAGAGAACTTAATACTCATGGTACACACCGGTCTGACAGCCAGCTTTTGTCTATAGGTAACATCGCGCGCAATATAATAGGATATAATATAATAATTTCTTAATTCCGCCGTTATTTTGTCATACTCAATTAAAAATAAATATTATTATAGGCCTATACATTTATGATAATATCATGTTGCTATGGTCGCACAGGTTGTTTACGCTTTTAATTTATAGCCATGAGAAATAGATGTCCTTCAACATAAAGAAGTCATATAGCCACAAGAAAAATATATTCTTCCCTCAACTAGGATCTCATGGCGACGACTTTACATCGTGTTCCCACAAGTTAACATGTTGTGGCCACGACAAAACTAAGTGAACCGAACATGTTCCTTCCCGGTCACCGTATAATACAATTATCTGTGGGGTATTTTGAGCTTAAACTTCACAGACACATTCTGGGGACACCCGAGACTTATATTACATTTTGTAAAAAGGAGCATCATTGGTCCCCTTTAGAATCATGACATTTACAGTTTTGATAGGCTACTCTTATCTACACATAATTTGCAGTAATTTGTTGGAGGGGATACATCACAGGACCTGAAATAATGCAGGTAATAATTTATATAACTATATTATGTTGGCAAAAGGTTCTTACATCTAACAAGATCCAACATTTTACAAATAAATATTCAGAGGTAAAATAAAAAATAAACTACACAAGATTCGGTGCACTAAACATGTTCGTTCTTATTTTCTGTGAAGCTTAAGATGAAAGGACAAGATGAATTACTGAATGAAGTTGACACTTCCTGTCACTCAAAAAAATATTTTAAATTATACATCAGCTCAATTGCTCAGTATGAGATGAGACAAGCTTTTTGAGACAATAAAAACAAATACATGATTGGATTACAAAGGTAAATCAGCAGAATGTAAAAGCAGTGTTTGTTTAATCTTCAGTTTCAAGTGAGAATAAAAATATGAGTCAGAATTTCCTTTCATCCAATATCCTATTTCATGCACTTCTCAAAACAAAATGTGTGTGTGTGTGTGTGTGTTTGAAAATACATAGTATACCTTCTATTGAATTGAATTCTATTGAATTAACTGTCTGATTGTTTCAACAAAACTAAGTGTCTTACCAAAGTTTTTAAAATTATATGCTTATCTCATTCATTTGCAACATATTTGTTATCAGAGACATGCACATGTTGTTGTCATCACTTGCAACATGACTTTCTAACAAGAGATCAATATAAATATTGCTGTAACTTCCTCAAGTAGAAGAGGCTACTGCTGTACATCTAGTGTTCAGGCTCGGGTATCCTGCTGCAATGAAGCAAAAATCAACCCTTCATTTGACTGTAGGCCATTTTTTTCTCATTTTCATCTTTATACAAGGAGCCTTATCAATGAAGCAGAGCAAGAATCCACCATGGGTGAGATGACAACTTGCAAATTAACTTGCAAAATCTACTCTTGAAGTCCATCTATTTACTTGGTTGAAATAAAATGAATGAGAGTATTATAACATTCCTTAAATAATGATTAAAAGATCAGCAAATCTGTTTTCTTCGTTTTATCAGTTTGCAAAAGTCAAACAAAACATGATAAAAAAAAGTTTATGAAAATTAACTTTTAAATAATGTGCATTATTGAATATGTTCATGATTAAATCATTTCTTGCTATCTTTTTTCCTCAGAATTTTGGGTCCACATCTTTGCCATTAGATGAAGGCCTACCGAATTCAGCGATGGATTATGATGAGGTGAGGTCTCTATACTGTGTCCAGCCATATCAGTTAATGTCAGACTAATCATAGATAATTATATCACTAAGGATGTTTTTATGTTTGGAGAAATGTGTTATCCAGGCTATTGTGTTGTGGATTTAAAAGCAGGAACACAGCTTTTGATTCCTCTGCTTTACTTAGCTGTCAGACGACATGAATCTGTCTGGATCCAGTGATGACTCCGCTGTGGAGGAGACATTCATCACAGGACCTGAGCGACCAATGAAGGCAATTTAAATCTCTCTCTCTCTCTCTCTCTCTCTCTCTCTCTCTCTCTCTCTCTCTCTCTCTCTCTCTCTCTCTCTCTCTCTCTCTCTCTCTCTCTCTCTCTCTCTCTCTCTCTCTCTCTCTCTCTCTCACTTGATATCATCTAACAAATACGTTTAGGTAAAATAAATTAATCTTGTGTATTTCTTTTTTTTTCTGAAGTTATTTGGAGAGAAGAGGAGCCAAGACAGTTAAACCTTGTGAACATGATTGTCACACTGCCTATATTAAACATGTTTGGTTTTACATTGTAATAAATGTTGGGCATAGCCTACTTTACAATTTTGTAAAATGAAGTAGGCCTAATGACGGTTAGAAATTAAAATGTTAGATGCAAAACAACCTCAAGCAGTTTGTAGATTAAACGATATTCAGTGTCTCTCATTTGAGTCATTTCTCTTGTCTTCAAATTCAGTGTCACTGGAAAAATAAAATTGAGGGACAAGGGTATTTTTTGTAAGCGTGTTTTTTCCCTCTCTGATGTCTTCTCTCATGGAATAACATCTACTGCAGATTAGCCTACTGGAGGATTCGAGAAATAAATAATTAAAGAGCTATTAATTACATAGGCTAGCTACACGCGGTAAGGCCAACCCAGATTTGAAATTTCTTCAGCACCAAATAACAATGACTTCAACACAATTTATGTTTTTTGGTTTTTTTAAATATGAAGTTTACAGACATTAAAAAAATGAATAAACAATCATTTGACTTAGGATAGCCTACATTTATTTCTTACCTTCTTTTGAACCGTAAACAAAAACTTCTCGATTAACATCACGTTCTCTTGTCAAATTTATCTAAAATCATATTTACTCTCACATCTATTAAGTAATTATTCAATAAAAAGATCAACTAATATTAGTCAGTCAGACAGCCAGTAAAACGAAATGACCCTTGAGGTTAATTTTTAAATTTCGCGACCGCTGCTTTGTGCCATGTGCGTCGGATGTAGACGTTTTGGCAAAAGCGTCAGTATATGACGCCTTGGGATGAGAATGCGTTGGGAAGACAGGAGAAAGCGTGCTGGAGAAGCGCGTGCAGATCAGAGGCGCGCAGTAAATGAAGATAGAAACAAACCCAGTGCCGATCCTGACCTCCCTGGGGCCCTAAGCTAAATTCTGCTAAGGGGCCCTCTACCTGACCCGTGAAGCCGTGAGCTATGTAAACCATTTGCCATTGCCACAGTCACACC